CCTCCCGCCCTCCCTCCCGCCCGCTCAGCGCGCCTGCGCGCAGCCGGCCCGCGGCACCGCCCACGGAGGAGGGAGCTGGAGGCGTTTGCAGCGGGAGTGCGAACGTGCGCCTGGGAAGAGGGAGTGAGAACGCACTCGGGGTGGGCTGGGCGGGAGGGAGGGAGGGCCTAGAGAGAAAAGGGAGGGGGGCGAGGAAAAGGGAAAGGGGGATGGAGTTGGGGAAAGGGAGGGAGGGAGGGAGGGAGGGAGAGAAGGAGATGGGAGGGAAGGGGATGGGAGGGAAGGATCCCAGGGGCGGGAGGGGGAAGGGCCGGGTGGGTACCCAGGGGAAGTGGCCAGGGGCAAGGATAACGCCCCCGAGTGCAGAGAGTGTTCATGATCCAGTGCTGCCCGGCCGTGGGAGGCCGACGACGGCACATCAAAGGCTTGTCCAGGAGCTGTCACAGCGCAGACACCTTTCCCAGCAACAGTTTGAAATCCCTTCCTGTTCCATTTCCAACCGCCTCGGGCCTCCTCCGCGGTTTCGCCCCAAGCCTTCTTGGACCGGTTTAGCTCGATTCCGGAGGAGACAAATAAATGGCTTTCACCCAGGCCTCCTAGGGCACTGACTTGGTTGAGCCTTGTGGGCAGTAATACTTGAAAGCATCGGCTCATTAAAACAAAACCCACAACAGTCAGAGGAAATCCAGGTCTTGGTGGAAGTCTAAACCACAAGAGGGGTAGTCTCCAAAGGACATTACGAAAATGCCCACCAGCTTGGATGTCCCTGCTTGGTATGTGTAGGATTGGGTTGACACTGACATGGTGCTCTCGGATCCCCCATCTCTCTCTGGGGATCGGTTCCATATTAACGTTAGAAGGCAATTTTGCTCAAGCTTTCACCCTTTCTCTCTCGTGACTTAATTCATTTTGAAGGATTTCAGTTTGTCTTTAGACGAAGAAGGGGGTTTAAATAAAAGCAAGACAAACCCGTTTGTAATACACGTAACAGCTTCAAAACTCTGGAATGTTATGAGGTGCCAGTCCTTAAAGCTGACCAGAGAGCAGGCAAGGGGTGTGTGTGTGTGTGTGTGTGTGTGTGTGTGTGTGTGTGTGTGTGTGTGTGTGTG